TATTTTTCATATATACATATATATAATATATATAAATATAGGAAAAATTGATGTGGGTACTCAAATGAAAGGTTTTGATGAATGTAACATCGGGATGAGCTTATATCTTTAAAAATGTCAATAGTTCACAAGATACAAGATCATTTCTTAATTATGTATCTAGAGATAGAGCATTTTCGACTGCAGCCTAAATACCTATTATAAATTGACTATTGGTGAGAATGATATGAAACATCGTATGTGATTAAAAATAAAATTTGTCATTATCAAATAGAAATTTTTAAAAGTGCTCCGCTAGGAAGTAAATTTATAGATAATCTATATGTCAGAAGATTTTTTTTTTAATTTTTATCTTAGAAGAAATTTATGAAACTTGAATGCCAAGAAAGGAGAAGGGAAGAAAGAGGTGGTCTATTGTAATGAGTTAATTTACCGAGCCACCAGGCGCCAACCCATCGCGGGTCGTTAGGCGTGATTTGCGGATTATCTGACGGGTCTACGTAGATCATTGTGCAGAACGAGCCGAGAATAAATCCAAGGGCTGGGCCCAGAATTCTTACTCCTATTGTTATGGCTGGAAATATAAAATAATAGTTTATTATTATTAAATTAAATCATATTAACTTTTATTATTTTCTTTTCTTATTATTAAATTAAATTTTTTATTTTCAAATCTATTCATCTTTCCAAATAAAAATTTTTAAACGTTTACAAAAGTTCTTAAGATCAAAATAAATGATAAAATAATTAATCTATAGTTAAAAATTAAAAAAAAAAAAATTAAAGACATTGAATACTCACCAAAATATAAAGGACTTTCTCTAGAAGCAACATTATCATCAATATAAGGAATCCCCAGAGTATAAACAGCTGTCTGGCCCATTCCAACTCCCAGAAGCGAAACGAAGAAAATAGCCAGAACTATGGACGTTATTTTCGATTGAATTTCCAGCTCTGTCAGAAATGTGCCTTCGCAATACTCGGTAGTGTCCGAGCCAAAGTTTGGTGAGTCTGTGGTGTACGACCTGTTTTAAATAAATTATTTTACTTTCCATCTAATCGATAAAATAAATAAACAAAAAAATCGGCATACCCATCGAGATCCATTGAAGAATTAATATGAGTGCGCGGTGTGCAAAGACTAGAAGTAACATGATTCGAGGTGCTAGCGGAGTCCGGGTTGATAGTAAAGAGCGCTTTCTTCTGCTCGATCAGCTGCTCGCCGAAGATGAAATGGGGCATAGAGCAGGTGAAAGAGCTCAAGGCGAAGAGTATCATGCCCCAGGCGATCCACTTGGGTCTGTGGCCTTGACCGCCGTAGTAAGTCAGCAAGAGCGAGGATCCAATCTGCCCGATTTCCGTCGCCGACATTATGATTCCCGTGGTCTTCGACTGGATTTGAAACAGCTTCTCGATAGTTGTTATCACTGAGACAAAGTACGTGTAGTACATGCCTTGCAGCACCTGTAAGCCAAAATAATAACAAGATAATTAAATTGTTCTATAATTATTAAAATAAAAATAAAATTTGTCTAAACTATGAAAGATACGAAAAAATCATGAGATCTTTTTTGTAGGGAATTAAATTTTCTACAAAAAAGGTTTATTGTAATTTTTTTGTACTTTAAATCAAATCGATTTTTTTAACTTGGAAATTAAATTAAAAAAAATTATCAAATAGATGAAAAATTTGCTCCGTTTTAGTCAAAATAATTATTCTGACTAGAAGATGCGAAATATTTTTTGTGAGGAATTGAATTCTTTACAAAAAAGCTTTCTTATCATTTTTTCAGTAATCAGAAAAAATAGACCTGGAAAAAATTTTTAAGTTATGAAAAATTCATATTATTTCATTGCAATTATTATAAAATAAAAATTATAATAATAATAATTGTATATCACCCCCAGAATGATCGCTCCATTTTTTGTAACAAAAAAAAAAATTAAAAAAATTAAATTATTATTATAAATTTTATTTTATAATTATTTTAATAGAATAATATGAATTTTTGATAAGTTCAAAATTTTTCGGGTCTATTTTTTCCAGGATTCCATTTTTTCGTACCTCCAATATTTAACCGGTAAATCAAACTTATAAGTAACAACAAGTATACAATTCACTAAACTTACCCAGGTAAGGCAGAAGATGACCAAAAAAGCTTGTTTGGTTGCGAAGTACTGGAGCCAGAACGGCCTGAAAAGGCCCCACCCACAAGAGACATCCACATCGTCGAACTCTGTGTGCAAGCTGTTGGACTTTTCGTCCCCGACGGCGAGGAGCTTTCCATTCTCCAGAGCAGTGATCTCCAGGACCTTGCCGTTGCCGTTGGTGATTGATTTGTTGTTGTTCAGCTTGTTGTGCATCTCGACGGTGTCGTTAGACATTTTCTCGGTGGGGATTATCGTCAGGACGTTGACGGTTCCGTTCGCGATTATCTGGGTGTCTTCGCCGGCCATCGTGGGGACAAATTAATTGTCAAAGTTAATTTTTTAACCTGAAAAAAGATAGACATTTAATTAAATTAAATAATGCGCACCCAGAATTTTGAAAAATTCAATTTTCTTTCATTTTTTCAATGTACATGTATATAAATATCTTCATAGAAAATTTAATGTTAAGTGGACAAGTATTTTCAAAGTTATAAGGATTTTTGTAAAGCCTTCTCGGAGTAACTAATTACGCATTTTGTAATTATACATACATTTATTATTATTATTAATTATTAATATTATGATTTATTATAATTAAATTTATTCATTAATAGAAAAGCATGTGCCATAATTAGAAATATACTTTGTTTGTTTGTAATAATTAAGGGGCTATGCGCAGTTGGAATTTATAACAATTCAATCATTTTTTTAATTTAGTTTTTGTAATTTACATATATTGAAGTATATACACAGAAAATTTGATGTCAGTCGGACAAGTATTTTCAAAGTTATAAGGATTTTTGTAAATCCTTTTCGGAGCGTCTTGCACAAAAATGGGGCTGAGGCCAAAATCTTTAAATATTTTTTTCTTAAAACTGTATTTTAGTCTTACAACTGTCTCTAATTTTGAAACAATTTTTTTAACTATATTTTATAGTAATTGACCCAAGGATTAATAATTCCGGAAATATTATATATTTTTATAAACAATTTCAGGCTAAAATTTTGATTTAAAATCAAAAGTAAATTTTTTTGTCAACCCGCTAATTTGTTAAAAATAGATATTTTAATTAATAGTGTCATATTAATTGATTTTTTTTAGATTTTTGGATTTTGATTCGGTTTTATTCAAACCGAAGATATCGTGCTCACTGCAAGTAACCTTTTTAATGAAACTTTCGAAAATCGTCAACATGATCTAAAAAAATCATAATTTGTCAAAAAAAGAATTTATTAATAAAGTTCAAAATTACTAATATATGTATATCAATTTTCATATTAATTAATTAAAAATCCCCTCTAGAAAAAATCATCTTTTTGGACCTTGTAAATGTGTAACTCTTTAATACATTATTATACACTAAAAAAAGAATGACTTTTTTTTAAAAACAGAAAGTTTAAAGAGTTTTCTACTTTTCATTGTCTACTGACTACAATTACCGCAGCCTCATTTTTAGCGAGCGAAGATAAATAGCGACAGTGATAGTGATAGTAATAAGTTGAATCGAAAGTGAGTTGAGAGTGAAATCACCTCTCACATCATTCACCTTCGCGGGTTATCAGGGACAATAGTCTTAATAGTTTACTATAAACCTGTTTATATTAAATCAAGTATAATATAACAACAACAAATAATAATACTAATTAATTAATAATTCAACAAATAATATAAAGTGAAGCTCTCAGTTTGTCGCTTCTATCTCGATAATAAATTAGTTTATAAATGTAAATGTAAATTTAAATGGTAGAGCTGAGTACATCTAATCAGCAAGCAGGTTGCAGTTCTGCTCAGGTGGTAGAGACTTGGTCTAGGTCACCTTTCACTGTCCCACTGGGATTACATAGTCATAGTATATAGTATATAGTAATAGAGTATTGAGTCTTGAATATATATATGTTGTTATTATGGGTAGATATATAGATATAGAGGTATAATGCCTCTCAATCTCAATGCCAGCCACCAGACAATCTAAACGTGCAACAGCTACCAGCTACCTACTCAATTTATTATCCTCCAGCTCTTTATTTTATTAATTCGTCTTCATATTATTATTATATTGAATTATTATAGTCGATACGGTGCGGTTAGGCTTAGTGGCAATTTTTTCCGATTTGGTAGAAAGTTATTACAGGTAATATCTGCATATACGTTTCACTTTTACGATCAACTACTTGTTATTACTTTAAATGATTTTTTGTATTTCTGAATTGTAATTATTGTGTAAAAATAGATAATTGATTAAAAAAGTAAACAATATGATTTAATAAAAAATAAAATAAAATTTTCAATGAGTTTAAAATATAGATTTATTTTATTGTAAAAGATTTGGAGTTTTAAGAATTTTAGAATTTGAAAAAAAATTTTTTTTAACAGCTAAAAGAAAATTTAATTGTATAATTAAATTAATGCAGTGAAAAAATTTGAAAGAAAAAATCTTTATTCAAGAAGATCATTTTTTTAAAGATTTATCGTCTTGAATAGAAAAAAAATTATTGAATAAATTTTAAAAAATCCACTCAAAGAATTTTGAAATTTTTTTTGTCAGTAAATCAACTTTAAAAATTTATAAGAAAAAAATTAATTTTAACCTTAACTTTTAAATAATAAATAGTAAAATTAAAATGATTAATATTTAATAATTATTTTATTACTTGCTAAGGATATTTTTTTCCGCACATCAGTTCCAAAAAAGTGTAAACAAGAAGTGGGGACAAAAACACACTCATATTAAAAGTTTATTCATAATTTTGACTTAAAAAATAATTTCCATTGAATAACATCACAATTTTTTTTCAATTTCATAATTTCAAACTATAAACTTACGAGTTATTAAAAAAAAAACAATAATTTCAACGGATAGGTGCGCTTACTATCAGTCCAAATCATTAACTAACGATATTAACAATTAACGACCCAGCTATTTATACACACCTATTGGTGGCTATTGTAACACCAAGGACAATATGTGAGTGTCCTCAGGGTACTTGCTCGAGTTTTTCGTATTTCGTATGTTTCTTATCCCCCCACTCCGGCTGATTAATTTTTACGCGGATGATTAATAGCTTCTCGGGCCAGAGAGTTTTTAAATTCACAGCCCATTTAATTTGATAACGATTTATGTAACCAATTGGCGAATAAGAAACGAAAATACTTTTGCGTATCTGTAATGAAAAAAAATAACGCGGGATTTTTTAGTTTTTATTTTTCAGAGGACGATGTACCTCAGCTAATGCACTTTAAGTAGAGGCGCATCCAGTTTGTTATACATATATTTATGTTTATATATATATATATGTGATGGATAATGTGTATCAATATCACGGTATTATTACGTGTGGTTACACACACATCCAACGTAATAATAGATTAGCTGAAGCCGGGCTTCCACCACAAATTATGGTCCAAAGCCCGCCGTATCAGCGTCATCTTTTTGGGCAAATAACACGCTATTTACTTCCACACTAATATACTTATACCGGAGTGTTCATGGATGCAATTATTGACATCAACAGAGTGGATAAATATCACCGCTTGTTACTAATAAAATAGTTTATGAGAAATAATATACAAGGAAGTCACCGGAAATTGAATTCTTTTTATAACTATTTTTCTGCAACAAGTGTCTATTTTTTGTGCTGTTTTTTCAGCAAATAAATGGAGGAATATCGAAGAATAACTTTTATAAATTAATTGGGGAAACCCGAGAATTAATGTTTCTTTTTTTAGACAATAATAAAAATATGTTTGTTTATCTTTAGACTGAACTTTGGTAGTTGATTTAATGGAATTTTTTTTTTTTACATAAAATTTAATAATTCAGAGTAAAACATTTAGAGTTAAAAATTTTTATTTTAAGTATGTAACACTTTTTTGTGTTGATTTAACACTAAAATTTTTGACGCAAAATTTTTTACTGTGTTCTATAAAATTTTTTTAAAGTTATAATAAAAAAAAAAATAAATAATAATAATAATAATGTTACAAAATTTTTAAAATATATTATTATTAAAAAGTAATAAATTTTTACTTAATACAAAAATAATTCAAACAAGAATATTAAATAAGTATGTAAAAACTAATAATTAAGATACTTAAAGATCGAAAACCGGATTGCTGCATTCACTGAGCAGAAAAGTACATATTTACATTCACCATTTTTATCTACCAGAAAGTGGGTAAAATGAACCCATTAATTATCAATCATTAAACTCACGGAATAAAACACATTTATTTTCTTTATCGCTCTTCAAAGTTTGATGACAAAAATCCATCTAATTATCTATAGAAACAATTACGCTCGTAATCTCTTTAAATACTTTAATATTTCTCCAATAATAACAATCTCTGAACTCCAATTAAAAATGATGTTTTTTAAGGAAAATAAGAAAAAAACAAGATCGTAAAACTTAAATTAGAAGACAATACCTGAGTCAATGCAATAATAACCGAGGGTAATTACCAAGGTACAATTATCGAAATTAAGTCGAGCATATTGCGTCCATTGATCTATAATTATTTTATAAAAATAATCTTTGAGTTTGAGCGGAAATAAAGTGACCGCTGAAAACGGACAATTCAACGCCCATAGTTGTAATTAATTTTATTGACAATGTATACGGTTACGGAGTTTATACGCGACCTCATCTAACCCAGCTCTGACCCCATGACCTCCGTAATAATATACATTCTGTAAGTTTGCGCAACAACAATAACAACTAAACTGTCTACGTACTGAGTAGTCCACTTGTAAATGTATATTTACACTTTTTTTTATTTCATTTATTTATACTTTATTCTTTACTCTAGTTTATATATATTTATCCTACTTGTCCGTAATAAATTGTTTGACACAATAAATTTAATTTAACACACGACACATGACTGATGGTTTTTTTAACACGAAATAGAACTTTGATAAATTTCATTTTTTATTTTCAAATTGATTTATAATTACTGAGATCGTTAATTTTATTAATTTTCGGTTTTTACGGGCTGTTAAAAATTTGTCAATCGTTCGTTTTTATTAGATCTAATTATATATATATATATTTTTTTTTTTAATTTATATCATGAGTATTAAAAAAATATTATTAGAAAATCTGAAAAAAGTCTACAAATTTCTTTTATAAAAAATTTAAGAATTTTAACATTAAATAGTCTAGTCTAGGAATTAAATAGTATCCACAGATTCGGTAGAATCTGGCGCCAAGTTCCGTTCAAATCCGTTGTAAACGGAGCGCCAGACTACCGAGTGTGTTTACTGTAAGCAGAACGGTATTTCGAGGTTGCAAAATTTTATTTAATT